GGTTAATTGGATACTAGACACTATCTTGCCTTGCACTAAGAAATTTATTTTCCCAAGTTTTCCCTCCCCTGTGAATAATACACTTGTATCTGTTTCCTAGTGAAAAAAATCCCCTTTTGTGAGTCACTGTTAAAAAAGCACCGTTCTGTCAGCCAGCCGTCCCGAAAGGGATCTGGTCTGCAGGGGTACCGAGCACCTTCAACTTGTTTTACTTCAGTTGAAGGCAGCTGCACCCTCTGGTGATTGACCCCCAAGCATTTTAGTTTCTAATTAGCAGATGCAGAAAGTCCCAGCGGGTAAAATAAGTCACCTGAAGAGGTGGACTCCTGTTCAGTGCCCGCCATGTGTTACTGTAGGCAGGAGCAGTCACACAGCTGGACCAGGCTGGAGCAGACCGACGGCCCACTCGGCCGTCAGCGCCATGGGAGGACCCCACAGCAGCGGGGGATACTGGAAGCGAGCTATCCTCTTCCCGAAACCTGCTGCTGCGGGAGGCAGCAAGGGCCAGACCGGAGGGGACCTCCCCAGCGCCTGCCTGGGTGGCACTTCTGCTGTCTTCCTCAAGAGCCTGTGAGCCCCAGCCTTCATCCTCATCTCTCTGAAATGAGGCTTTGGCATCTCCACGTCTTCGTGGGCAGTATGAATGGAAGCTGCAAAGCAGCTGTGAGCACGGTTGTGGAGACCAAACAGGATGGTTTGCTAGATGTCCTGAGTGCCCCCACATTGACGTGCACTTGGGGAGGTAGGAAGTAGGAAGGAAGGTGATTTGGGTGTGATGGGGTGAGAAATCTTCAGCCACTTCTCTGAAATTGCAGGCCCAAGGGAAAAGCCCGGCCCCTCGTCGGCTGCAGGAGGGCTGCTGGGCTGGGGGGGAGTGGGTGAACTCGGCCAAGAGCAGAGCTGCCACCCTGGGAGGTGCAGCTCCTGAGGCCGTTCGGCATCTGGAGGGAGAGAGACCCCGAGTGGAGGTAGCACTCACCACCCCGTGCCGACGGGCCGTCCACACGCCAGCTGCGAGGACTTGTTCAAGTTGAATTGCCGGGCCTTCTAATACAGTAACTGCAAAGCAGCTTTTCCGATGGATAGCCCCCTCCATCTCATTCCTCTGCCCAGACCATTCCTGGTAATTAGCCGGAGCTCCGCACACGTGCGGGCGCCTGCCTGCAGAGCAAACCCTCTCCCTTTCGGGCGCAGGCTTGCTCCCAGCCGCCGGGACTCTGGGAGAACCTCGCACATCGTTTCGGTGCCTGTCAGTGGCCATTAACCAGCGGATGAATAGAGTGAAATGACTCCTTTTTCTGAGCAGATGCTAAAGGAGGGTTTTTTCACCTGAAGGTCGTGAATATGTGTCTCAGTTTCCTTTAGTGATCGCGCTTGGCTCAGAGCCTCTCATTTGGGGGCATCTGTTTGCCTCTTATTTTATTTTTTCCCCTCTTCTTTGTCTTTTCTTTTACAGAAAAGATTATTCAAATGAATATTCAGTTTTATTCATTTGAATAAAAAACCCAACCGTTTGACTCTGTTAAATGCTTATCTCTTAAATAGAGCTTGTTAGCTTCCAATAATAGCTTCATTCAGAAGGATGCGGTATAATTTCATTTTAAAATGTGTGCTCCTTGACAACCGGAATCCTATTTATGTCACCATTTTAAACAGCCTTCTTTGTTTTGTGTTAATCTTTTTCATGCACTTTCTAAGAACCGTTTTTTTGTTGACTCTTAGTACCTCTCAGAAGAAATGATTGTCCTATTTAGTCCAGGAAGGTTTCTGAGAGTTTTGGTAATATAAAAATGAGCATGTATTCATTATGCTAACTAATAAGGCGTGCGTGCAGTAATGTTTTTTTGTGTGTGCAATTATTAAAAGTTGGAATCTGATATTCAGAAAGTGAAACAAAAAAAGGACCCATTACCTGTCACTCTTACAAAGTTTTTAATTCTGGGGCATATGATCTCTTGGGGATTGTTCATTTAAGGAGCGATAGCATCTCTTGAATAGCATCCTGTGGACTTTAAGTGCCTGTATGCATGCAGATTAAAATCCTCTGGTTGCTTCCCAGTCAGTTAAAGGTGTCGGTAATCGTAAAGGTAAAACATCGCGAGCCTTCAGCTACGGGTTGAGTGCCCTGCGTGGGCTCTGGGCCTAACCCATGAGCCCCTTGCCCGCTGGAGCTGCCTGCCCTGCCCGTCTGCCGGCTCCAGAGAGAAAGGAATAAAAGATGGTGTTGGGTTTTCTTACAGACCCAATCCCGTCTGTTTTTTCTTGCCAAGCCAGCTAGACTGGCCTGTGCGAAGTGGCATAGATCTTTTAAAAATCTGCAAATGAGTGTTGACACCTATGGACTGTTATTTTATTCTTGTTATAAAATCTGCAAATGCTGAAAGCTGGGTGGCTATCTGATTTAATCGGACAAATAATTTCTTGATAAGCCTGTGTTTAAGCCATGTGGAGTGGGATGAGAATGGGAAACTTGTTTCCGAGTCCAAATGTGTAATGACTGCAGTGGGCTTTCTTGCGGTGTTGTGCATATTAAGGCTAATCTCCTCTAAATTCCCTCTCTCTCCTCCATCCTGGCAGTGAGACCTGACAAAAGTTGCAAGAGAAATCCTCAACTGCAGGACTCGCTAATGAGTTACTAATGATGAAGATGTTGCTGATGTTCAAACAATTAATGACTTGTAGACCCGGACTGGCCATCTCATTGCGCTGGGCAAAGCTGGTCCCCGGTGGCACGCTGCTCCCAGCTCCGGTAATTGCCCGACGCAGCGTGCTCCGGGATTCCTGGGATGCCGTATTCAGCCAGTTAACCACAAAAATTTTAGTTTTAACTACAGGTCTGTTTAAGGTAGATTTAAATGGAGTAATTTAGAAGGCAAATGAAAGACTTGAGTTAAGTAAAATACTTCAAGCTGCTACATGCTTTAAGTGCAAAGTAAAATAGTGTTCTGAGCACTGGGTTTGAGTGTGATGTGCTGTCGGATGATGTTTTATACCTTGGAGGAGATCTAGAAACCATTTCTGGTGTTTTTTCTCCCAAGAAGAGGGTCCAAAGAGGGATGGACCATTGCTACGTGTACTGTGCATTCCCAAACAAGCCAGCTGGGAGCTGCTCGGACCTCGCCTTGGCCAGTGTGGGAGCCAGCAAATGCACTTTACAGCTTCAAATATTGTAGCCTGCAAAATGTATCTTGTTCCTGTAGGTTGCCAAAACCAGTATAGTTTTAATATCTTCTGCTGTGCCCCATCAAAGGAAATCTAGTGTGTGTTTAAAATGATGAAGTATTTCTTTGGGACCCCAGTGCAGAAACTGCCTGCTGCTGGGCGCCTAGGGGTCTGGCAGAGGGAGCAGGTTGGGGGTGGCGCTTGGGACCGGCAGGACACGACCACGGCACTCACCGCTGCTGGAGGGGAGCAGGCCTGGTACTGGAAGGTGCTAATTGCAGATGGGAAGTGTCAGTAGCAAAATGGGTTTGAGATGAGGCTTCGCTGCTGTATTCCCAAACAGATGGGGGGTTGGGATGGGCAGCGCGGGATGGACGGACACGCGGCCGGTGGCAGATGGGAGCCGGCTCCTTCAGAGGCAGCAAAGACAAAACTGCTTTGCTGCCATGCCTGGCTGGGCAGAGGGATGCTCACTGGGCAAAACTATTCACGGAAAATAATGCCGGGCAGCGTTGGTTTCCCCTCCGTCTTCCCTCCCCCGTCCCCCCAGCCAGGGGCAAAGGCTGCTGCTGGGGGTGCCCCAGCTCCGGCTCGTTTGGCTCACAGCCTGGTGCGACGAAGACGTCACGTGCTGTTTCACCAGCCTTGAGTCCAGCAGAGTTTTCAGTGCAGTCTGGAGGATGAAGTTCATCCTGTTGTTACATTTTTAAGATTTCATTAGCTTAATTGGTGTCGATGTTGACTCATCAAGCCTTTGCCAGAAATTTAGCACATTAGATTGTTTTTTGTTTGTTAGCTTGATTCTTCTTTCTTTTTTTTTAAGGAATGAGCAGGGAACATGACTGTGTATAGCTGTGGTGGGCTGCCAGATTTCTTTAGTGTGGCATGTCTGCAGCCGTGTGGCCCCAGCAGAGCAAATACAGTGTGCAGCTACGGGCGGGCAGCAGGCATCAAACGACCCTGAACCAGCCCAAATCCACGGCTCCTTTGAAGCAGCAGTGGCGAAGAGAGGAGTGATTAGATCAGAGGCCTTAAACGTAATGGTTCCTTGGAGGCCTCAGGATGTCCTGATGAGGTATTAGAGGAAGTAATTCAGGAAGAAAGGGACAAATAACCACCTCCGGAGCCCAGCTGACCCGCGGGGCTGGCTGCATCCGCACGGGATGGAGCTGCGGTGGCTGCGCCGCTGGCCCCAGCACGCAGCAGCGGGGACGTTTGGTGTTTGCTAAGAGCAAATGGAAACACGAAGTGCTGCTGCATGTTTGGGGAAGCATTGGTATTTTTTTCCTCGCCAAGGGTAGCAAGGGGTAAATGAGGAATCATCTTCTGTCTTCCCGGATTTTTATTTTTTTGGGTCATGTAATAAGTCAGCTCTAATGGAGAAGTCCCGTGGAATTAAACAAGAGATAAAATCAATATGGTTCCATAGAAATATAATTGGGTTTTGTAGAGATTGCTCTTAAAAAGCTATAAGGTGTAAAAGAAAATACGGCCTTATTGTAGTTTCTGAGCCGTCATGTAACCGGGGTGTAACTATCCATTAAATTCTGCAGGATGGATCAAAAAATCCATAAGGAGGTTTTAATTCTCCATTAAATCCTATGGAAGAGCTGGAACAGAACCGTATTAATTTTCCCCGAGACAATGCTTCTTCCCTCCGTTAGTCTATAATAAGTTCAGCAACAGCTCCATAGACAGCAGGTATATTTACATGTGCATATTTTTATGAAAGTTTTCCAAAGTCCCAATGGCTAAGTAATGCTTTATTAAAATGAAGTCCATTTAACTTAACTAATATTTTCCTTTCCCCCTCCCCTTTTTGTTTCTTTATTAAACAGGATTTGGCTTCGTAACTTTTGAAAATGAAGACGTGGTGGAAAAAGTCTGTGAAATTCATTTCCACGAAATCAATAATAAAATGGTAAGTTACTTTTGTTCAGCAGCACATGTCGGTGGCAGCGAGCTCTCGCCCTTTGTCACAGACGCGTGCCATGCCCGGGTGGTGGCTCTCTGGGACAATCTTCTCCGTGAGATTAATTGGGTGGTGGGCACACCGTGCCTGGTGGAGGTGTCATGGGGGCAGGCTGCTGAGCCTTGACCATGGCTTGCTTGGGCACTACTCCTGTCCCCCCGCCAGCGGGACGGGTGTCTGTCCCCCCATGAGCACAGGCGTTGTCTGCGGGCTCAGGCAGCCACCCCAGAGCAGGTTTTGGTGTCGGAAGCCAAAGGGCTGAAGATGGTGTGAATCAACCTGCTCAGCTTCTTGACCAGCCTTGGAGAAGCCCTCCTTCTCCCTGCCTGCTCTTGGGAAGAGCCGTGGCAGCCGCTGAACGGCTGTGTTAGGGGTTTCAGGAGGGAAGTGGACTGGGGTAGCTGTTACAGACCATGTGCTCCCAAAATAGCTGTTCTGGTCAAACTCCCAAGTCCTGATGCTGCTCTGATGTTGCTGGTGCCTGCTGGCCCATGTCCCCTGGGAAGTCGTGGGTCTCTGCCATCAAGCCACGATCACTTTCCACCCAGTCCCGACCCAGGAGCCAGACCTGGGTGAAGTTTCTCCTAAATGACAGTCAGGTCCCAAGTTGCGGGTTGCCCTGTCAGTAAAGCCACTGAGCCAGATGAAGAAGGGCATTTGTATTTGAACTGATGCAGTAACTTTGATATTTTCAGCTAAAATATTCTTTTCCCTTTGTCAAAACATCCTTTGCTTCTCAAATGTGTATTCAGATATGCATTGTATATTGGTCTGATACGTGTTCACAGACTTTAAATTCAATAATAGAGCTTTTAGTGTGGATAAGATCAAAGCAATCTCCTTGGCATATGCTGGAGGCCTGATTCAATATTTGACTTGCTAATTTTTCCCAGGGCAGTGAAATAATATTCTTCATATTGTTCCTCACTGCAATATGCATCTGAAATAAAAGTAAGGGTCCCCTTGGCAAACTGAGTGGTGGGATGGCAGGGCCGGGCCGGGGCAGTTCCCCTCGCCCAGCGGGAAGCCTCTTGCTCCATCTCAGACGGGTGCCGCGGGCTCTGCCTCTGGCCTGTCCAAGAGTCTCACTGCTTCCCCAGCCGCCTCCTGCTTCTGGGGTTTCCTGCCTGCCACCAGCGATACCTCGCCCGAGACACTTGTGGGTTGTGGGGGAGGCTCATTCCCCTGTATAGTTACTAAATGCTGATTAATCTGCCTTAAAACAAAACAAAAAGAACGAACCCCAACCATGCCCCCCCAGCATCCAGATGACAGACCCAGCAACAAATTAGAAACACTTGGAATGTAAATTTAGTTAAGACTTGTCAGTTGGGAGGGAAGAGCTACAGTGCCACACTCCAGGATTTTCCTACCGCTTAATCGCGGGTGGGTGCGTGTCATGTCATACTCCGTAGGTTTAGTTATTTCACAAAAAAGGTTTTTCTCTGGAGCAAGGCTCAGCCTTCACCTGATGCAGATCAGCGCTGCCCAGTATTGCCCTGGTGAGGTGCCGATGTCAGCTGGAAGGAGCAGCAGGGTGGTGGGGTGTCCCAGCAAAACCGGCGCCAGCAGCGGGGCAGAGCTGCTATTTGATGCTTCCTGGCGGGATCGGCACTCCTGCGCTGTAAAAATCTTACCCAGCTGTTTGCAGACCCCTGCTACGGGAGGAGTGGTGGGAGAGTTGCTGGGAGGATTTCTTCGCAGATGAAAGGCTGCATGGGAAGGTAACAGCAGTGCTGGGAACGTGGAGGATGGGACAGGGCGAAAACACTCGAGGAACATCACAAAGGGCAAAAGAAACAGTGTAGGCTGTTGGTGTTTTGTTGTTGCAGATACTTAAAAGATATTCCTCCCAGCTCTCTGTGCCTGCTTGGTGCACAATCCAGGTGCCACGATGCTTTGAGTGTTCTCTTCTTGTCACTTCTTCTACAGCACTAATTTTAAAAGCAGCCCACGAGGGAGGAGATGAGACATGATCCTGTTTTGGGACTGACTCATCGTATTGCTGATGTGTCTGCAGATTAATTACCAAACCCATGCAGGGGCAGGAGAGCTTGTGCACGCATGTGTGACAGTGAGCCGGTGCAGATGGCCGGAGGTGACACACAGCTGGCTGGCGGTCAGAGTTAGGCGCAGACATACTTCCCGCAGCACCCTCGGAGACTGACCACTCCTGCTTCGTTTTTAACATGTCCCCCTCTAGCGTTGAGCTGCAAAGGGGACAGGTTCTCACAGCCCCAGCTCGAGGCGATGGGGTTTGCAGCCACTTGGTGAGCTGGGACGGGCACCCCTCATCCCCGTCCCCATCCCTATCCTCAGGCTGCTCGGCTGGGGCATCCATGGCTCCGCGGGCACCGACTCGCCCTGAGCTCGCTCTTTCTCATCTCCTGAATGCTGTCATTTCCCAAAATGTGGGGGCAAGCAAAGGGTAGTGGAGCTGCTGTTGTTCATGAGCCTATTTCTAGCCTCCCGTCTCCCTGGCAGGCTATTTTTAGCCCACCCATTCTGCTTCTGTTGCCATCCGTAAAGCTTAGAATGTCAAATGTAATATTAAATGAGTAGTGTGAAAGCGAAAAGAAAATGCCAGTGAGGTATTTAATAAATGAAACTTGGAATTTACGTGGGAGGCCAAAGATGCTCTCCAAACATTGCGGGGGGGACACAAATAAAACCCAAACAAGCTATCCCCAGAATATTGTTCCTCTGACACGAGCAGGCTGCTTTGCAAAGAGAAATTTGGTTTTATAAGGGGGTGCAAAAGTAGCTGGAAAAGAAATGTGATGGAGTCATTCATTTTCCTTTAGATCCCACTGTGATAGAGTCGTTCACATCACAGATACAGCGGGACAAGTGCCGGCAAGCGGTGCGGTGAGCCGAGCCTGGCCCAGGCCCTTTGCACTTGAAGTCAGGATCTCAAGTCAGACTCTGGAGCAGCTGACAAAAATGTTAGGCTGTTTTAAAATAGGCTTTGACGCTGCATAGCACCTGTGGCTGTTTCTCTCTCTCATGGTGGGATTTTGTGGGTTTTGTGGTTTTTTTGTTGTGGGTATTTTTAATGTGTCAGCACTCTTCAGGCTTCTCCCCAGACTGGCAGCCTTTGATGACGTTTTAGACATGAATATCACACACGATGTGCCTTTGGGGTTTCATCCAAATACTTTGTCATCTAAGGCACCTCCATCCCTGGAAAGGCTAAACTGTGCACCACGTGCAGAAGGCAGGAGGGCGCGCGAGACCACCGGTGTCCGAGGTCCCTGCAGTAACCAGGAGCAGAGGAAACGCAACGTGCAGCCAACAAACCACCTCTAACCTTGCACAGAGATTTTGAGATGCCACTGTGTCCTTTGCCAGCTGGGCGCCATGGAAGGCAGATGTCAACCCCCAGATGTGGTGTTGGGCCTCATGCACGATCCTGCTGCCTCTCCAGTTTGTGTCTAACTGGTGGCAGTGATGAGTTTGCTGGCTGTGTTGAGAGGGGGTACATGGACCATAGTGCAGGGGTGATGCCGCATGTGGTGCTGCTCGGCTGTTTACAGGCACGACCCTGGGCTGCAGGCGTTTGGGGTGTTGTAGGTAGCTAGTTCTGGAGCAGATGTCTTTGGGGAGGCTTGACCAAATGACCCTGCCATCTCTGCATACGAAGCATCTGGGTCAGGGAGTGGCTGTAGGGGCTGAAAATGATAAGTGGCATTGGCTTGCCCAGAAGGCATGGCAAGGGACAAAGGGGAAAGTTATAGGATGTGAGAGATTTTCTTGTGGGCATGTGCTTAATCTGGGTCCAGCAATCACCCTTCTCCCTTGTGAGGAAATTGTTTTAGTGCTGTAAGCATGTTTTGATGCTTTTGTCCCAAATCCGCAAAGCACACAAGCTCATCACACCTTGCAGCTCCCTCACCCCCCCCCAGCCCTCAATGGAGGCATTAACCCTCATTTTACACTCAAATCAAGTAACCAGAGAGTTAAGAAACAACCTCCAGTGGCCAGAAATTAAATGCAGCAGCTGCAGTTTGAGGACCCCACTGCAATCCCTGGGAAACTCTTTGGAGTTGGGGTTGTCCCTTCATTGAACACGTCTGTAGGACCTACCAAAAGGGAGCAGTCATTGTGAATGTTTAACATCGAGTGGTTAAACATTGGAACAGGCTGCCCAGGGAAGTGGTTGAGTCACCATCCCTGGAGGTATTTAAAAGACGTGTAGATGAGGCCCTGAGGGACATGGTTTAGTGGGCATGGGGGTGTTGGCTTGACGGTTGGACTCGATGATCTTAGAGGTCTTTTCCAACCTTAATGATTCTATGATTCTATGATTCTATGAATGGGGCATACGGGCACCGAGGCTAAAAGTGTGCCTGACTCTGGGGAGTCTGGTTGTCAGCATGTCACAGGAGAGCATCGCTGCTTGTTGTTTCCTACTGTGGGATCACTACCAGCTTGTAGAGCTGGAGCCTGACACATGGCTTGTTGTTGTGGGAGAGCATATACGGGCACCGCTATGAACTGTCGTGCAAAGAGGCCAATGGTCATGGTAACAGGTTCTCTGCAGAGGGCTTGTTGCAGGAGTGAGGGCGATAGGACCCCGTGCAGGGCAGTGCTGGGCCAGCAGGTACGCCAGGTGTCACTGACATTAGTGGTGCTAGAGAGGGGCTGAAGGTGCGGTGGCTTTGGAAACCCCATCTGTCAGCTGAAGGACACTGCAGACCGCTTGCAGGTTGGATGCATTCCTATAGTGTTGTCTTCAGTGTGCTTTAAATTGTGTAGCTTGTGAGCTGTACAGTGACGCCGCCCTTGCAAGGTTCTCCAAGGGTGGCTGGGTTCTCCAGCCCGCACAGGACGAGAAGGAGCTGCCCAATGCTGGATGTCACCAGGTGTTTGGGGGACAAACTGCATTGATGAATCACAAGAAACGCTGGCAGACTCCTTTGCTCTCCTGTAGCTGCCGACTTCTCCTCTTATGGTCTGAGGACACGCTGAGCAGCTTCTGACCTCATTGTCCCCACCCCACCTTTGTCAGTGATCTAATGGGTTTTTTAAAATGTGCTTATAACCTTTCTTCTGTTGCCTGGTGTAGCCCTGCCTTTGCGGCAGGACTGAGCGAATACAGATTTCTCTGTTAGAGGAGCGATAGTTTTGGCTTGCCGTGGCATGAATGACATGGCGTCCCCAAGGTAATCGAATCTCAACTAACTGTGAATCGCACGTTGCTGGCAAGACAAAGTTGCCTTGTCTTTGGGTGGTAAAATGGTTTTTTGTGCATTGTGAATATGTGCGCATTCTGCTTTCCTCAAAATAGCCTTGGTTTCTCTGGAAGGCTGCTAGCCATGGTTTTTGAGACATCCTGGTGCTGAGAGCTGACAGCCTGTGTTGTTGCGCTGGGTATAAGAGGCTTTTCACTCCCCATCTCAGCCATCCTGGGTTCTAGTGGCTTTGACTGCTCGGCTCGACCCACGAGTACCCCAGTGTAATGTTAATTCTTCAAACTAGACTAAACAAAAATAGTGAATTTTAGTTTCCCTGCCTTTTTTTTTTTTTAGCCTTAGAGTTAAAACTTCCTTTGTTAGGCTGCTGAAAGTGAAGCATATCCCTCATACAGGGGACTTGGAAAAAATCTGGAAATTACTAAGATGTACAGAAATGCTGAACTGAAACTTTGTACAAAATCCAGATTTATATACAAAGTACCCGCATCGGGCAGGCTCTTGGGGGTGATTCGGTGCAGAGCTGAGCACTGACTCATAAATCCGGATCCATTCCCTCTTGGAGAAGCCCCGTTGCACGTCCCGCATTGCCAGCATGCGTGTGACATCCCTGCTGCCTCCAGAGTTTTACCCTCAGGGTAACCGTGGCTGCGGGATGGTTATGGCCATCTCCATCCTGTTCCCCATGCCAGCCAAGCGGGCTGGCTTCTTGCAGAAAAGCAGCCTGGCCCCCTTTTTTCCCCTTTTGCTGCCTCTGTTGGTGAAGAGGCACCGTCCAAGCCCACCGCTGGTCCGCTAACAAGCCGCAACACCTCCTGTTGCTGCATTTTCCCCATTTGCCAACGGGATGGTGCATGGGCAGCTTCTGCAGAGCACCTCAAGGCCTGACGTTGCTGAATGGGGAGTGTAAAAATCCACCCAAAGCGTGCTGCCGGGCCGGGATCACGCAGCCCCTTCCCAAGGGATGGCAGAGCAGGGCCGGGGCTCCTGGTCCCGTATCTTGCATGTC